TCTGTTCCAGTACAGCCTCCACCTTTTAGATCTTCTAGTTTCTCATTGTTGATTGCTCAGATTCAGAATGACTAATATTTCATTAAACTGAGCGATATTTATAGATAGTGTAATAATCATGTAACTACCGCTGTAGTGTGCATGCCACTGCTGTATTCAGTGTACTGTTGTCCCATTCATAAGTTTTTGATGAAGGGAATGCTAAACCAAGTAATACGAGTGAGAGCATGGTACATGATCTCACTGTAAACATGACCTTTTGCTGGGTGTTGGTTTAGTCCATGAAGGTGACAGATTTCTTGAAGGACAGTCCAAGACTATGACCACTTCTTACCACTTTCTGCTCAAATTGCAAGATGCATTTCTTTCACCTTGTTTTCCACTTTTTGCCACGAAGTACCTGGTGCAATGGTTAATGAAGCCATAGCTATCTGGCTGGTAAATTCCTGCTTTAACAGTAATACCTCTACAATGCATGCTAATTACTGAACTGTCATCAGTTCTCTTAATTTGATCCTTAAATTTCATCCTCAGGACAGGCTCTTCTGGATCAGTTATTGTCAGATCTCTAGAGGGTCAGCTCTTAACTCTGTTCTGAAAACTTGAATCAGAACCTGGCTCCATCATCAGATTCTGTCGCTGTAAGTCTCCTGGCTTGGATTGGCTCTTTGCAGGGAGGCTGACACTGAGGAGGGCAGCGCATTTTTTGACTCTGTCCAAAATGAGAAGCTCTGGATATAGCCTGTCATCGATCCAGTCCTTTTCTTCATTTTGGATCCTTTGTGCTCATGGTTCCTGTGCCCGACATAGAACCTGAAACTTGTTTCTTTCTGGCTGAATTGGCTGAAGGCAAAGCTGAAGCTAGTCTCAGAGAAATGGCCTGTTTTGCACTTCTCTGTCCTTCCAGTAAATACTGAGAACAGAGCAGATATGTGGAAGATGAATGCCTGAGTCCAACATACCAAATATTTGACCTATGCATAGGATGCTGGGAATTCTGCAGATGGAACACATCTTTTGATTTCAGGTTTCTTAGCCTTCTGATCAGACATGTTATATTTGTAAGGATCACATAGCATTACAATATAGCTATCCAGCTGGTCACGTTGAAGGAACTGAGGCAAAGTAGCACCATGATCTTTTAAAACTCTTATCCTAAAACATCCAGAGTCCAGAGAAGGGCAGTGAGGGGGAAGGGAGGGTAGAGAGGCAGGTGGATGCTCCATCAGCTACTTCTGACTGAATTACAGTCTGTACCTTTTGTGGGATACTACAGGTGGGAATATGCAGAGGACACTCAAAAGAAAAAACAACTTTCCAAAAGCTTTTTCTAAGAAAATACTACCCCCACCACCACAAGTGAGTGTTTGCATATCATATACTTTACTGCATTGGTCACAAACAAAAAGACATTATGAATAAATACAGGTGATTATGGAAGGAGAAGAACAAGAAATCTGTGATTTGGGAAATGCTCCATTTGAAAATTTGACTATTTCCACTACACTTTCTCCAGTTCTTCCTCATTTTATTTTCTCTCCCAACTCTCTCTTGTGAGTAAGTGTAATGGAGAGGCCCACCTCTCATGAGCAAAGTGTAGGTGTGCCTGCATTTTTTTCCCTGTTCATGATGTCCTATCTGCTGCTGCACTTGTCAGGTGCATCTTTGGTAAATTCAGTCAACTGACAGGCGATCCAGCCTGAGTCTCAGTGTCCAGTTGAATAATGAATGAGCTCCTTTGGGGGTACACAGTACAAAATGTCCCCAGTGTCCTGCAGGCCTCCTGGTCAGTTTTCTAAAACAGTCCAACAGGGCCCAACATGGTACTCTCATTTGGCCTAGCTATGATACAAGGTTCCTATTCTGGAATGGAACAGCACCCAGATTGCTTCTTCTCTGGGGACTCCTGCTCTCTATTTGAGTCCTTTGGGCGCTCCTTTGGGGGTACACAGTACAAAATGTCCCCAGTGTCCTGCAGGCCTCCTGGTCAGTTTTCTAAAACAGTCCAACAGGGCCCAACATGGTACTCTCATTTGGCCTAGCTATGATACAAGGTTCCTATTCTGGAATGGAACAGCACCCAGATTGCTTCTTCTCTGGGGACTCCTGCTCTCTATTTGAGTCCTTTGGGCTTCCCTCTTGGACTCAGTTTTCGGACCACAGATCCTCACAGAATAGTCCCAGTGCAGCCCCTTTCCTAGGTGCCACATGTCTAAATCATTTCCTCAGGGTGAGGCCGCTTCCATCAGTGGCTGGTCGGGGGAACCTGGTCCTGTCCCAGTCTGGGTCCCAACTCAGGGATACTTTAAGTATAGCAGCTTTATGCAGTTTCCCTGGGCTACTTCTCTAGTTGAGAATGAGCTAGAATCCATCTTAGTTGAGACCAAGCAGGCAGCCAGAAGCTCGATCCTTGCTCTCCTTATCCCTACAAGTAAACTAGCTGTTTATTCTGAGCAGTCAGCAAGGAGCTATTTTTGGGTTCCTCTCGTTCCTGCCAGCAACTGATCTGGCCAGACCTTTCAGCCCCTGCAGCCAGTGAGGAGCAACTCTTGCTCCCTTTGTCCCTGCAAGCACACTGAACTCACTCTGGACTCAACACCTTTTACAAACCTGCTGAGCTCTGATTGGCTGCATTGCACAGCACCTCTCTAGGTGGCTTGCAGGAACCTCTCCACTGTCCTTTTCTGGGGCAGGGTGTGGCATGATCCACCCTCTCACAATATGGCAGACTAGGAATATTAGTTTTAAAATATGTTAAGAGCACAGGCATCAGTAAAGAAATTCAAGCAGGAAGTCTAGCTTATTCATGTAGTTCAGAACATAAAGCTCAATATCTGAATACATTAAAAGCAGTCTTTTAAAGCTGTCATGAAGCAAGCTTAGTTAAAGTTATGGACAGTTACTTTAGTAATAACATGCACTAAATGTGTTTAAATCAAGTTTAAATTGTGTTTAAAAATAGAATTTATCACTTAAAAATCTGCCTCATCTAAATACAAATGAATTCATTATCTAGTCAGACTGTCACAATATGATGACTTTCTGTTTATCAAAAAAATTCTCTTTGTCAGTAGTAGTAGTATTTAGAATGGTTTTCATTTTTTAGCAGATGTTATTTTTCTACTATGTTAAGCTCATCTTCATTCTCTAGAGAATGAAATTCTGAAAATGACAAATATTTTTAGTATTAATAATCATACCTACAAGGTTGTGTTTTTGAAGTGAGACTGTCAAAGAAGAGATAGAACTAATATATCTGAGAATAGTTAACCCATGTTGTGTTCTCATACTTTACCTAAATATCATTAGCATGGAACTTGAAAGAAAACAGAAAATAATTTGAGACATATTTTGCAAATATACTTTTCCATTCTATCCAGTGAAATCTACTATACATTTTAGAAACGTGCACCTGTTTGTCTATTCATGAGTCTGTTTGTTCAAGAACTCCTCCTAAATGGTAGGAACTAGGACCACTACATTTGTTATGCAGCTTCCTCTCATCATAAAAAAGCAAGGTTAGGGACTGGTTGTGTCAGAAAATTGGGATGTGCTTGGAATTTGATTATTTCTCATAAAATGGAAAGAGAGGGGTCTGGTAGGAGGGAATTATACTATAGAATGACCACAGAGGGGCAAAAATGAAGCGGCGATTTAAATAATCGCCGCTTCATTTAAATGTACATGGCTGCCGCGCTGAGCCGACAAACAGCTGATCAGCTGTTTGTCGGCTCAGCGCGGCAGCCATGTACATTTAAATGAAGCGGCGATTATTTAAATCGCCGCTTCATTTTACTATGTCTGGTAGCCTAATCTACATGCCTCTGGCGACAGAGGTATGTAGTCTAGACGTACCCTTAGACTCTGTTGGGGCAGCAGGAGGGCAGGAGTGGAGAAAGGGACAGCTATCTACTATATATTTCAGAAAGTTTATCCATGTCTCTGTGGTTCCCCAGGTCAGGGGACATGCATCCCCTGCCCTGCACCCATGGACCTAGTCCCAAGCTGCTGCTGTGAGAGAGGGCTGGGGTTGTCTTACTCAAACTTATTTGAGTTAAGGACCCAAGCAATGCTGGGTAAATATTCTAGTAATAGATATATTAACTGAACTGAAGTAAAAGGGAAAATTATTTGTATTTGGATTCATATATTTGGTTTCAGTTAGAATGAGATGTCAGATTCTAATAAAACAAGAAAACAGTGGGGGTATGTAATCTGAGGTATGAAAACTGTAATAAAGTGATATAATTATAATACCTTTCCATTTTCCTAGTACCTTTCATGCTGACAGATCCCAAAGCACTTTGCAGACTATAGTTTAGAATAGAATTTTAAACTCTATTAATTTCCTCACGTACCTATATTGCAAGCAGATTGTTTAAAATATCTATTTTATTCTAAGTTAATTCACTCATCACTAACATACAAAAGGTCACATTGCACTAAATCCTTTGAAAGAACAGGCTCATCTAGAGAGTTTGTGTGTCTGAAGAAATATGGATACTATTAAATGTTTCTATGGAGAAAAATCCCACAGATTTAGAAGAGAAAGATTACAAATATGATGAGCTAGACTCTGGTCCAAGTCAACTACTGTAGTGCAAATGGAATGGTAAAGAACCCTAGATAGGCAGTGTCCAGGAGGTAGAGAGTAAGAACAGCCAGGTCCTATGCCACCTCTCATGATGTGGGGGAAGAGAGAGCATGGCCACAGAAGTCCTTAAGCAATGTAGCTAGGGCCATGGATGGAATTCTAACCATGTCTCTGATGGCTATGCCCCCCATCCTCAGACTGAGGACAGTTTTTGTTATAGGAAAGAATCTGAACCCATTTATCAAAGCTGCACAATTTGATATGTTACCTCAATGCATTCCCCAAACATGAAAAAATGGCTTAATGTCTTTTGGAGGAAGGATAGCACTTTTCTCAGGTGAAATGACTTTATACCTTTATCTGTCCATAAAGATAAATACAGTAGTACAAAAAGATCAATAACAGCTAAGTAAAAACACCACTTTAATCCTCAGTGAGGGACAGGTGGTAAACATATTATTTACATTTTATATAATAATAATGATTTCTTATGGCAAAATTCTGGAACAGCTGAGAATCTGGACCTCGTCTGAAGTACTACAGTGATAGGTGCTTTAGAAATGTTTACAGATTTAACTACTTAGCATCATCTTCCCCCCAGCTAGACTTAGTATGTGCACATCAATACAACTCAACAGATCCCCTATGCTCATCAGGCATCAGCATTGCTGACAAAGTTAAAGAGAGCTTGGTTCTTGTCTGACACACAACTCCACTGGAAGTTTCTTTTACATACATTGTTAGTTAGTATGCAGTAGCAATCTGAACTATCCCAATAGTCTTCAGGACATTGGTGACAGCAGATAGATTATCTGACAATAGAGGTCCCCATACCTCTTTATATTGCAGAGACCATGATGATGAGTATGACTTACACAAAGAGTTAATACTGCTTGTCTTTTATATCCACTGAAAATCAGGAGACAAACATGAAGCATATAAACACAGTAAAAGATGTGACAGGACAAAATAGCAGTTCAAAATTACTATGCCACAACATGTAATGGGACATTAACAAGGCGATTCCCACTGTACAAACAACAAATAAACCAACCCTGAAACCCTCTTCCCGAAAAACTGTCTGATACTGGACAGTTCTCTTTTCTTTGCTCAAATGTCTAAAATATCTACATATTGCAAAGGTATCTGCTGCTGAACAAGAAATGGAACAATTTGTTTAGCTCTACTGCCAAATTTGTGACTTAATGGCACCCACACTATAGGTGGGAAAATTCAAATACTATTTTTTTAACAGCAATTACATAAGATTTATTATGCTGTTTCTAGCCGGCATCTTCCAAGTGGACCCTGGTAGCCTGTGGGCATGCTACAAGCAGCCTGCCCAGGATTCTCCTCATGGAATGTTCAAATAAACTTCTTTTCATGCATATTTGGGGTAAAAATACCTCTTACTGGGGCCTGAGTTTGTTAGTATAAAATACACAGAAATTAAACTTCAACAACCCCCAATGTCCATTCATAAGTAACAGCCCAAGTTCTCTCTTCCTCCTCACAGTCCACAGCCTCTCACCTGCTTGGACAGGGTCTCTCTTATGCCTCCCTACGTGGGGTAACTCCCCTGATCTCAAGGTCTTCCTTGCAGGAGCCTTTCAATATTCTTTGCACCTCTGCCAGAGCTCTGTGAGCTTCCCCCTCCTCTGTAGATACCTGCTGCTTTTTATAAGGAATCACATGTTCTAATCAGGGTGTGCTTCCCTCTAATCAAGCAATGCTAGTCCAGCTTCCAGGGGCAAGTCATCCTGTTAAAATACCTTATCAAACAAAACACTTTGTCTATTTGACAAAAATAATGCATTACAAAACAGCCAATTTCCTATGCAGAAAGACAAATTACGGCTGTGATTATCTATTTTCATTGCATTAATAGATATTACTCATTAAAATCTTAATTAAAAGCTGATTATATTTGCACAGAATAAGGAAGCATAAAATAGTGTATATGTATTCTATAAAATCTATTTTCTTTTGCACTTTGAAACACAAAACACTAGTATTGAAATCTTGGCACTACTGAAGTCAACAACAAAGCTTGTATTGTCTTCAGTAGGCCAGAATTTCATCCTAGTTGTTTTCAGCAGTGGGTATGCGTTTACTTGTAAAATATTGTGTATGTTGGATAAAGAAGTGCAAAGCACTCTTAGCAGATTTATTTTCTAGATACAATTCAAACTGACAGTTGCAGTCTAAATGTTATCAGAGTTGAAATTTCATTCTTGTCTCTGCTAAAGACAAATATATGCTCTCAAGAATACATGAAGGGCCCAACTAGTAAAATAATTATTGCTGGAATTTTCAAAAGCTTGTAAATGGCTGTTTGTGAGCTTTGTATGGGGTTACTTGTGGTGACTCAACATATATCTATTGAGTGTCAAGGTGGGAGCCAGTTAACAGGATATATCAAAACAAATTGCATGTGGTAGCAGTTGTGATTTAGGGGAAATCCTTATCACTCCCACATTTACACACTGACTTGCTAAAGCATCAAACACAATGGTTTTGCCTACATACTTTCCTGAAACCTGCTATTCCCTGAGCTAATGGGACCTCAATTTTTAATATAATTTGCATGTTGTAGACAATGCATACTGTTGTACCAGAATCATTTCCTTTCCTATAACCCATTGATTGCATAAGCACACTAATTCCTGCCTCTTAACTATACATGGGAATGTACACTGTTACTTATATAGCACAGATATACATCCTCTCCCCGAGTTACGAACGAGTTACGGACCAAACACTTGGCCGTAACTCGATCCGTTCGTAACTCGGACCCCATTGAGCTACACGCGACCGCACGGTTCATAAGCGCGGGTCGCATTCGTAACTCAGGGACTGCTTTTACGACCGCTCCATGGGAGCTTTGGTCGTAAGTGCGAACGGTCATAACTCGACCGTTCGCAACTCGGGGAGCGGCCATATACAATTACTTTAATGAATTGATTTTACTGAGTTACAAGAACAGCTCCTTACATTGTAAATATTAGAATATGATTTGCAACATGCAGCCATACATCTGGAGCTCTGGTCTGCAGGCGGCAACTAGTTATTGTGGGTGGTAGAATGTTTTCCTTGGACAAGAACAGACAGTATTTGGTTTCCCAAAGTTATTAATTTATTGACTTTTTATCAGTGAGAGAGGGGCAAATTTTTGGTATATCCAGTTGGTCAAGAAATCTCTTACTATATCAGGCAGAGCCCCTCTTTCTGACCCTTGACTGAACCTGGCACTTCATGGTCTAAAACTGGTCTCTATAAGTAGAGTACACATTCATTTCTCAAAATTGTATACTGAGTTACAATAATTAAAATGTCACTATCCTTCCAAGGAACCTACCAGAAATCCCCACTGATTAGGTAGTTTCTTTTTTACTCGAGCCAAAATTTGACACCTTTTTCATCTTTACTACAAACACACAAATATATTTTGCTAAACAATCTCAACAAAAGGACAGAACTTTTAACTGAAAACAGAGCTTCTCTGAATAGAAATTTCTTGAAATGACTATTTATGTAACAATTCATAAAAGTTTAAATCTTACTATATATTTTAGAAATGTGCATCTGTCTGTCTGTCCATCCGTCTGAGACCATCTGGTCAAGAACTCCTCCTAAACGGTAAGAATGAGGACCCCCAAATTTTGTATGCCACTTCCACTAATATCTTAAAGCAAGGTAAGGGTTTGGTTGTGCCAAGACACTGGGATGTGCCTGGAATTTGATTGTTTCTCATAATATGGAAAGGGAGTGGGGGTTTGGCGGGAGGGACAGTTATACTGCAGAATGACCACAGGAGAGCAGCAAGGAGGCAGAAATAGGGACCAGGATCTCCATTCCATTGGGCCAGCAGTTGTCTGTTTGTGTGCTTGTCACCTGGACCCCAGCTACTGTTGTGAGAGAGGGCTCAGGCTGTCCTCTCTCCCAGGGAGACTGTCTACTGAACCCCTAATCCCAGCCACATCACAGAACAATGATTTAAATGAAGAAAAAGAAACCTAATTTCAGAGTTATGGATGTGAGCAATGCCGAGTAAATCTTCTAGCTCTCAATAATTACTTTCTGGTCTCAAATTACTATATATATAAGTGTACTGTATTTAACGTCTCTGATTTTAGACATATTGTTAGTTTTCCAATTAAAGAGCATATATGTTCAGTCACATATTTATTTTTGCAAGCCACACAATAGCTCAAAAATGAAATCATTCAAAAAGATACAGATTGTTAAATAATTGCCTTTGTTTTGCCATCTCAAAATAGTTGAACTTGGACTTCCTTTCCTAATTGATTTGTACCATCCCTCCAGCAATGCTGAACAGTTGAATCCAGTCTGTTTTCACATATATCGGTTTCTAATGTACTCTCTGTACATGAGGATGTCTTCTTTTACCAGTGGTTGCATGATGCCTCTGCTGGCCTGGATGTGAGCATGGAAGATATCAATTGATTTCTTATCTGCTTTAGGAGGCTGGACTTCATAAATGTTGTCTTGGGAAAAAGAGGAGATGTGTGTTCTGAAAAATCAAAATCAAACAGTACTAGGATTAGGTCTCAAATCAGCAACATTCTATATCTATCAATTGCACTGTAGCACCTCAATTAATTTTGCCTATAATACATATTAAGTGAACAAATTGAAAGAGAATGCACTATAAATCATTTTCATATTGTATCTAAAATTTCAGCAACACTAACCTTATTATCATAAAAGTTATTATTCACAGTTAATATACTGCACCAGCAGCAACATTTAATATTAAATACTCTTATATTAAGACAAGTTGTCAATAAAGAGAAGCAAGTTAAACTTTATGCTGTCAAAAGGTGAGATTTTTGGGTTTGGAACAGATTAATCAGTGGTTAATGTGCTGCCATCAACAGTACAACTACAACCTACCCATTAACTGTTCTGTATGAATGCAACTTGATTTACTAAAAGCCACAATTTGAAATCAACTTTAGTGAAACACTGTTTCATGGGACTATCAGGCATGTTGACACATCGAAGGTTTAGTTCCCAGCTTGAAGAGACATACCTGGGGGCTAGCTGTAATCAAGCTAGCAGGCATGCTGAAAATAGAATGTAGCCACTGCAGCGCAAGTGGCAGGACAAGCTAACCACCCTGAGTATGTGCCTGTGGTCTCTGACAGGCATGTATTCAGGATAGCTAGCCCCTCCTGCAGCTCTCGTTGTGATGGCTTCACTCTTTTTGGCTTGCTAGTTTGATTAAGAGCTAGTGAAGATGTGTGTCCTCAAGCTAGGAATCATATCCCAACCTCAAAATTTACACATACTTTATGAGTTGTCTAGAACATTTGACAAAAATTCTCCTGTAACTATTAATCATAAACAAGAAAATATATTCCAGCAATCAGAAATCTGGCACTCAAGTTTCAAGGGGATGGTGCCAATTTTCTAAATCATCAATTTCATATGTTCTGGCTCACGTCTTCTAGATGTCTGTTAAATTATCTACTTTACAAAGAACTTTAACAAAAATACTCAGGATCATTTTTCATTGGAACACTGTGGTTTTAAGTTTGGACAATAGCTTCTTCACCTCCACACATACTAAACGGTAGGGATGAGAACCTTTATTCATTTACATGATTAACATATCCCTGGGCTCACTGGTTAATCATAATGGTTACATACACCCCCAACCAGTGTCTGTGGGCCTGTGCATGCCGGCTCTCATGGAGCCACCAACTCCTTCTGCCCCACTGCCTCCCACAGAGGCAGTAGTGTGGGTGGGGGATGGCGGGAGCCAATGGTTGAGAGAAGGCGGGGGGGCGGGGCGAGGAGGGAAAGGAGCTGGGCAAGCAGGAGCTGGTGCTTATTTTTGACCATTCAATAGTTTGAGATGGGAGAGAGAGATTGGGGCAACAGAGCACATCCTGATTCAGACTAATATTTCTATGGGAAATTGAGCCATCAGCCACAGATCCTCGTCTTCTCTATAGCTGGACATGGTAATAAAGTCATTCCACATACAATTTGTTTTTCTTCAGTGATGACCAAATTTGCTCCTTTTAAATTATTCTAGATTTTAATAGTGGAACAGGACAGCGACAATGAGGTAAGTTTTATATAAAACTTTTACAAGAAAAGCAGCTACTTGAATTTAATGATACATTTTCATATATGAACATTTAAGTTGGTTACAGTATGGCTGTCCCCTTATTGATCATTCAGTTCTCTTCTGTCATCTTTGTTGAATATGTCTTCATTAATGTACATTCAAAATTTTCTATGCTGTACAGTTTTCATCTGTGGTATGCTTTCATTATTGCACATTGCTATTTCTTTGTGTAGTGCTTTGTTGGTATCTTAGCAACAGTGCACTGCATTCAAATACAGAGAAGGGTCTCTATTGTTTAAGACAACTACTGCATGTGCGCTGTTTTAATAAAAACTATAACTACTTATGTTTTATTGTTTGGTTACCAAAGCCCCATTCCTTTCTAATCACCTCTTTGTTAGGAACTCTAAATTGTAAGCTGTTTTGGTAATTCCAGTAAAAATGGCATTGTTTCTCTTGGGATTTATTTTTCACTTGCACTTGGCACTCTGAAATCTGAGTATCCCTGTTCTGGGAACACCCGTAGTTCAGACCCTTGTAGGGGGAGGTGGAAGTGGCTCATCATGCTGCTTCTTCCCCTCCCTCCCTCTTTCCCCAGCTGGGAAAACAGAAGCACAGCATTGCTTTAGAAGCTTTTCTCCCACTGCTCCCATAGCGGCAGTGGTGTGTGGTGGTGGTGGTGGTGGTGGTGGTGGTGCCTGGGAGCGATGATGGTGGTGGAGCCATGTGTGCTCGCAGGAGTGGGGTGTTAGGAAAGTGCCCCACCGCTGTTCCCCAGACCTCAACACCCATTTCCCTCATGTACCCTCCCTCTTTCTCACACCACACTCCAGCACCCTGCATGATCTGAAAACTTCCTTAATCTGGAATACTCTATTTCCCAGGGTTACCGATTAAACAGGTTCAAGTTTATTGTGATTGCAATTCATATTTCAGGGAAAATTAAGATTTTGTTGAAGAATGAGGGAGAGTATGGATATGGGAAAGTTAATGAAAACAGTAATCTTGTTTGTTGCAATTGTCTTGTCATTATACCATTCAGCAACAGTATTTGCACAGTGTTATGGTGTCGTCAAGAAGGACACTTTCTCTCTGAAATCTACAAATAAATATGGTCTCGATGTTCAAAGACATCATTTAAAGTAGGTCTCGGGATAGAAGTAAAACCTAAAAGGCAGTTTTTAAAGGAGTGAGTGGTGACGCATTATTGTTCAGAGAATCAAAGGAAATGGAGTCACAAAGAAGCCACCGTGATTGGTTCCATGCTGCCTCATTTTCCTCTAAATTCTGGGGATCAGCAAAATAAGGGGGAAAATCCCACTCCACTACCCTAGTGCTTTGCTCTACTCCCATGTATAAGAACATAAGAACGGCCATACTGGGTCAGACCAATGGTCCATCCAGCCCAGTATCCTGTCTGCTGACAGTGGCCAATGCCAGATGCCCCAGAGGGAGTGAGCACAATAGGGAATCATCAAGTGATCCATCTTCTGTCATCCATTTCCAGCCTCTGACAAACAGAGGCTAAGGACACCATTCCTACCCATCCTGGCTAATAGCTGTTGATGGACTAACCTCCATGAATTTATCTAGTTCTTTTTCGAATCCTGTTAAAGTTCTGGTCTTCACAACATCCTCTGTAAAGGAGTTTCACAGGTTGACTGTATGCTATGTGAAGAAAAACTTCCTTTTGTTTGTTATAAACCTGCTACCTATTACGTAGTTGCATTTGGTGACCCCTAGTTCTTATGTTATGGGAATAAGTAAATAACTTTTCCTTATTCAGTTTTTCCACACAAGTCATGATTTTATAGACCTCTATCATATTCCCCCTTAGTCTCCTCTTTTCTAAACTGAAAAGTACCAGTCTTTTTAATCTTTCTTCATATGAGACCCTTTTCAAACCCTTAATTATTTTGTTGCCCTTTTCTGAACCTTTTCCAATGCCAATATATCTTTTTTGAGATGAAGCGACCACACATCCAACCTAAAATCTTTTGCATCCAACCTACAAACTTTTAATCCTAAAGGACCTAGCAATAATTTGGTAAACCAATAATTAATTGGTGGAGACTTCTGTTGCTCGTTCACATCTCAAAAGTCCTCCATGAAGTTTTCCTTCCCTAGCCTTGAGATAGATCACTTTATGCAAATTGAAGTTCATCACAGGTTCAAAGGAATGGGCAAGACAAGAGCTGCACATTCCATTCTGCCAGAAAATATATGTTACTACAAACTGGCTGTTGCATTAAAGTAGGATGGGCTGCAAAAGTAGCAGTTCCCAGGACTGCAGGACCAGAATAATCACGTGAAACTCCAAGAACATACTGATGCCAGGACCTCAAGAAAGCAGGTCCATATTTTAGAACTAATACACTCAAGCAATGAGCATTTTACAAACTAGACAAAAGATAGGAGGCAGCTGCTCGCTACAGTAATCATAGGAGAGGAGTATCATCATAAGACAGATTTCTAATAGATCAAGGGAAGAAAAGACCCTACAGAGAAGGAGATTTCTACCACTGAAGGAGAAATCCCTGAAAGAGAAATAGAAGTGAGCTCATAGCAAAAGTTCATTCAGAGCACAGAAAGATCCATAATTGAAAGATCAACCAGTCTGGCATCAGAGAGGTGAAAAATGGGGAGAATCCTGGCCAGTGTGGAGGGAAGTGTCTAGTGTCTCTCTACTGAAAGGGAAACCCTGAATTATTATATATTTGTGATCAATATCTATTGCATAATCCTATCCACGAACTGGAAACAGAAGCCCTGATGAGCAGATGCACGGAGAGTACAAAGATATGTAAATACTTTAGAAGCAGAGACCAGAGAAGGCAAGATCACCTGAAGAGCAGCCTTAGGAATTTCTATCCAAGATGTTGATTGCCAGGTGCTAAAGCTGACAGGCCAGAGTTTTAGAGTGAGATGAGCCAAACTGTAATGGTTTTATTATGTTCTGACCATTAAAATCTAAATCAAGAAAATAACAAGCATAGAAATAACTAGATTCATTACAGTGATTTGGTTAAACAAAAAATTGTCAATAAAAATGTAATTTAATACATTGCTAACATTTTAAAATTGGAAACAGAATATTGCTTGTGGACCATACATTTTATTAATTTAATATTTAAATCTTAAATATGGTCCATTGCCAAAACAAATTTGAAAGCTCCCAATAAAAGATAAATTGCAAAGCATTATCATAGTAATAAAAAGTAATTGAACAGGTCCCTGGCTAAAATAGGATAATTTGAACTAGACAAAATGTAAAAGTAACACAGAAATCATGAAAGAAAACTTTGGGTACATGAATCTTCTGGCAAAAGAGAACTACATCACTATGACCTTGCTAAAGAACCTGGGATCAGAGGCCAGGCCAAATGAAAGTGTCAAGAATTTCAGTGTAGGCTAGACAATCAAAGATTAGGACAGAAAAAGGTGGGAAAGAAAAGAAAGATATGGTATATGGTACGAGCAACAGAAGTCTCCAACAATTAATTACTGGTTTACCATATCGTATATGGTACATAGAGTATCTAACTTGAAGAGCTTATAATTTAAAAGAGAAAAGACAGATGGGAGGACAGAATATTATTCTTAGTTTACAGGTGTGGAACTGAGGCACTGGGGTCCAGTAACTCAATCACAAGACTAACCCATGCTTTTGGGCTCTATTTGAGCTTCGGTAACACTTTTTTAAACAACCTCTTACAAAAGAGATTGGTATGTATGATTTGATTTTTTCTTGTTGTATAAGCTTAGTGTTGTAGTTGTTTTGGGTAGTACATAGAGTTTGTAGTTATCACTGTTATTATTTGATCTGAGGAAGTGGGTCTGGCCCACGAAAGCTCATCATCTAATAAACCATCTTGTTAGTCTTTAAAGTGCTACATAGTCCTGTATTTTGTTTCAGCTACACCAGACTAACACGGCTACATCTCTATCACTATCTTACAAAAGAGGAGATGCTTACTTTCTCCAGATTAGGGAAGTGGATTTAAGAGGAAATTTTAGTGATATAATTATTATTCTCCCATTTGCACTTGAGCGCCTGAAAAATCAGTGAAGAATAAATAAGAAAAATACTTATTCTTTTTAGAATTCCTTGTTAAGGGTCTCTTTTCTTTCCTCTTTGTCCTCAGAAACCCAGAAATACAGAGTAGAAAAGAATACAGTAGCAGAAAATTGTGGAAGGATTTCATGCTACCAGAAGAGGAAGAAAAAAATTAAGTAGATTTTCACTATGTATGTATTTCCTGAGATTGACAGAATATTTACAGAATATTTACAGATAGTCTCTGTACAGTACAGAACAGCATTCTATTTTAAAATAGTGCATGAAAAACAGGAAATACGTAAATGAAATGAAAAAAATTACTTATCTTTAAAATTACTTTGTCACTAAAACATATGGGTTAATAGAGTACTGAATAGGAAACAGTGTTGAGTGGCAAAACTATTGGTAAATTAGAACCACCTGTCTAGTGATTACAGTATATTCACTCAGCTTTCATTTGCTAAGCATGCAGCAGAATCAAGAGACCATTCACTTGCTTTTCCTAATATAAATCTAACATTAAAAGTAAAAGGAGATGATCATTTTAAGGGTATATAATCAATTAATTTCTTTTGTATCTGACTGACCAGGTGTCAGCTCTTCCCAAGATGGCAGGCATGAGCTAAGAACTGAAACTCGATTGGAAACCAGACTTGTACAAATCATTATTAGTGTTAATAAGAATTATGTTGTGTTTAGACTTGCTGCATGCATTAACCTCACTTGTAATGTCTGTCGTGAGCCACCCTGACAATGTGACAAAAAAATTAATATTTTTAATTAAAATTGTTTTAATCAAGCATTCTAAAAATGCATATTATCCTCTTGAAAATAAGTTGGAAACATCTTAAATTAATCTGTATTTCAAAAATCTTTTAAAAACAAAGCTAATAAAAATACTGGAAAGTCTAGGCACATCTGACAGGAACTTAGTCCTGGGGAGACAAACTCAACTTGGTAATTTTACCTTACAGTGTTTTAAATTACTAGACTAGGTTGTTCAAAATTATGGTTAACTGTCATTTTTGCAAGATTTTGACTTTTCTTCAAATCCTTCCTGGTTGATTGTTGGCACCAAATCATTATTGGGAATAACTTCAGTATTTAGAATTTATTGTTGGTTTCAATCCTGCAGTTGATTCTGACTGGGCACTTGGGCCTGCAGATCTAGAGTGAGTTGCAGAATTGGGACCTTAGTATTTCAGATCACCTTGTTATTCTTTTCTGTTCAGATACTTTCAATAACTGCATATGTTATTTCTGCTAATTTCTCTTCAATCATTTACTTATGCTCTCCTAACCATCCGATAAGAATGTATCTAGATACCCATTGTTCTACATTTTCCATAGACTTCTAACGATTAATAAAGTTCAGTATTAATAATTTATGACATCCTACATACTTTCTTCTAGTCACATCTCTCTCAAAGGTTTATCAAATCTATTAGTTCTGCAACTGCTATATTAAACATTTATTTTCAGTTAACAGTTTAACATACATTAATATTATTCTGGAATAAATTAACAATTTTCAGATCCAAAAGAATATATTTGAAAAAGGATTCTGATTTGAACATTCCTGATAAGAGTACTGGATGTGCAGTTATAGAAGATTAATTTACAATTCTAAAATACATGTTTCACATAGAGCTGCATATTAATTTAAATTAATTGAGATTTTATTGGCAGGATATATTATACAAGTGTTACTCAAGTGAGAAAATGACAGAATGCTAGATATCTGTTCTGGGCATCTTTTATCCTGTCTTCTGAGTGCCAGAGCTAACTCCAGCTACAGGGCAGCCTGTGTTGGCTGTTCAGCTGTTCCCGCGGGGATGAGGGGCAGGACTCAAAGCAAATGCCATATCCCCTTTGCCACTCCACAACCTACCCCACCTCCCTGCCTTCCGGGCATCCATAGCACAGTTATATATTATGTTTGGAGTATGAGACCTGTGTCCAAGATGAGTAATGGAAGCTGACAAAAGAATACTTAGAAAATATTTGTGGCATTCATGATATTTTCATTTCAGACATCCAGTCAGTGATTTTTCAGGTATAGTGTCAAACTTCAAAGAATTCCCTCAGAAAAGGGAACTGCCGCAACAATTCAACAAAAAGTAAAAAACAAACAAACAAACAAACTGTACTCACATATTTATAACCCCATCTAGATTGTGTTTTGAACAAAGCTGCTGGCTGCTCTTGTCTTGTTTATGTTGATTCTGCCCCAAATGCACAAACCTGAGTAGCAGTAGATAAAATTACAAGTCATAAAGGGAGCAACAACTATTTGCAATAACTTCAATGAATTGATGGAAGTGACACAGTTCAGCACAATTTGCAGTCATTCAGTTTCAGTAAGGCACACTGAGTACATTAAAGGACAGCTGGAACATTTACTTTACTTTATACAAAAGTGAGGGTCATGACTAATACACTAATCTTGTTCTCATTTTTTTAAGTTCCTTTTAAAACTTTAGTTTGGGTACATTTGGGGCCATTTTCACTTTCGCTAGGAGGAAGTCTTGGCCACTGGTAGGCATTACTCACTATTTTACAGGCAGCACATAGGGCCATCAGCAAAAAGAGACAGAGTTAACTGCTGTTTCCAACAGCATGGGCTCCCCACAGAAGATCTTTAGGAGGAGAGAGAAGGATGAGCACTCAGGTGCCATCACTGGAATTGAGCATTAGGGAAGCTATATAGAGAAGCAAGCTAAACAGATGGGAAGTTGGCTCAAGTTTATTTTAGACAATCCTGACCCTGAGCTCTCTCCTACTGTGAAAAGCTGCCCTCCCATTTCACTTATTTAATCTTTTTATCTGGAGAACCCTTTGATCTGCCACCAGAAAGATACGCCATCTGTCTTCCTCCCCTACCCACTCTATACTTTCAGAGTAGAGGATTTTCCCAGTCCCCACAAGTCTTGTGGAAGGGAAAGTATCCACCAGCAGCAAATGAAAGGGAAATCAGGACAGGAGCTGTGAAAGGTGAACCAGGCTAGTGATTATATAGGGAAAATGGAAGGTAACTCAGCGCTAACTCCATTTGCATATGGCAGACTTGAGCTCTTTAAAAATAGAAAAATAGAATTCTGAAAAATAGAAAGTCTGAATATCAGTTAGAAACATTCACCCCCAAACAAAAATTTTGATAAGATGTTATAGTTGACACTTCTACCTCTATGCAAGAGACAGAAACATAATACTTTTCTCACAAAAAGGTTAATTTATGTAATTTAACATGCATTTTATACCAACAACTGTTTAACAGGTAAGAAATTTAGATTCTTTTTAAAAAATCTGTGAAGTTGCAGAGCTTTAATGTTGACATTTTGTAAGTTAATGTAATGCAATACTTGAGAACAAATGTGAAAAAACTGTAAATTATGTATTTGTGAATTAAAGAGCCACTATTAATTTGAGTGTGTCCCTTTTTCCTTGAAAAATGTTATTTGATAGATGAGTCAAATGAACTTATAGTGAAATAATTATCAAGTTCTGCATTTGGAGGTAGAGCTTCACATTGATGTTCAGAGAATTGTGTGCACCTGTATAAGAGAGAGAGTTTGATTTAAAAAAATAGTTATCTTTGGTGCTAGTGCCATCCCAGAGCAAGGTTTAAATAAATTCTGGAGAAAGGGGAGCAGTTTCTCATACAGAGAATTTAACAAGCTCCAAATATTACTTTCTGATTATGACTGTGAATTTTCTTACCTTGTATATATTGTGAGGTCATCTTCTGAAGGAACATCTGAGAGGTTAATCCCATATATATCTTTCATGGACTGAACTATGTTCTGGGAGAGGTGGGAGGAAACAAATATGTCTTTCAGACACAGAATACACTATGCTAATTTCCAAACAAAAGTTTATTGGAGATAATTGAATTCTTCCTGGATCAGAAAAAAGTATTCACTAAAGGCAAATAAAACCAATAAAAAACCTCTCCTGTATTTCCTACCAATCTCTCTAGATTTATGCTGATTTTTTTAAAGAAGAATTTAATTCAAACATATTCTTCATTTTATTTGTTCAGTAAAAAGGGAAAACATTACTGAAAAAGACAATAGGAAACCATATGAAATAATAAATCAATTTGGGAAGAATCTGAAATTTCTTTTATTGCCAATATAAAACACAATATAAATAATTCATATTTGTGGATATATTACAAGCTGCATGCTTTTATATTTTATTTTTAGTTTAGGAAAGAAAACATACACATTATACACCATTTATCTTTAAGCTATACTATGTAAAAAAAAAACCACCCTAATTTTCTTTGGACTAATTATTTTATTTCCATTCTAGCATAAAAGAAGTTACATGTTCATGAAATACACAGGTCCTCTCTTAACAGGATGCTAATGTACCCTATTTTAAGGTTCAACCCCTAAAAATGAATAAGGGTTCTGTGACTTCAGGTTGCAAGCAGTACTTGCCATACCACAAAGCCAACCTATCCTTAGCAGTGAGAAACTCAGGATCAAATATTGAGTAGGGAGTTTTGTGTCCCCAAGCAAGAAGTGAGAAATATTTCTTCCCAAGTATTTTGTATCACATTGAGTCTTTAGTATTGTCCATTATTAACAAAATGTTCCCTGAACTAAAAACCTGACTTACATATTTGGAATGTTTTTGACTGGTGAATATGGCACTAGCCTACATAAAGGTAACATTAGGTATAAAAATCACATTAGTAAAAAACACAGGATTTGTCAAATCCAAACAATAGTTCTTATTTATTTTTTTCCAGAAGAGCCTTTTTCAAATCATTACAACAAGGACAACATTGGAACTTTTTTTTGTGTGGTTATTACAGATAGTCTATCTGCTTTGTGTTACTGTAAGATAGGGTTAGAAAAAATGATAGCAGAGGTTTTAAAAAAAAATGCTTAACATTGAGAGGACGGACCAGGTTGAAGTTCCATGTCTCAGAAGGTTTTATCAGAAAAGAAAATGTTCTCACTAGGCTTTCAAGAAATGTACTATCACAAGATGAAAGAATGGTTAACAATAAGAGGTTGACAGGCACTAAGAGCTGCTAAGAGCATACCCTTACTGAGCTCAAGGAAAGACCTAAGACATCAGAGGGACTTGGTGGAATAATATGCATGACTGGAAAATTGGTATAGAAGGGTATGGCTTGCTCAGGAAGGACAGGCAGAGGAAAAAAGGGAGGAGGTGTTGACATACATTAAAAAAATGTATATGTTTAGATGGAGGTTGAGATGGAAAGTCACTGGGTAAGACTAAAAGAGGAAAAAACAAGGGTGATGTCATGGTAGGGTCCACTACAGATCATCAAATCAGGAAAAAGATGTGGAGGCTTTTCTAAATAATTTAACCATCAGCCAAGAAGGGTATGGCTTGCTCAGGAAGGACAGGCAGAGGAAAAAAGGGAGGAGGTGTTGACATACATTAAAAAAATGTATATGTTTAGATGGAGGTTGAGATGGAAAGTCACTGGGTAAGACTAAAAGAGGAAAAAACAAGGGTGATGTCATGGTAGGGTCCACTACAGATCATCAAATCAGGAAAAAGATGTGGAGGCTTTTCTAAATAATTTAACCATCAGCCAAGGCACAGGACTTGGTAGTGATGGGGGACTTCAACTACCCAGACATCTGTTGGGAAAATAACACAGCAAGGCACAGATTATCCAACAAGTTCTTGTACAGTATTAGAAACCCTTTTTTTATTCCAGAAAGTGGAGAAAGCTACTGGGGAAAGGCTGTTCGAGATTTGATTTTGACCATGAAAGTGATCATGAAATGACAGAGTTTAGGATTCTAAGAAATTGTAGGAGGAAAAACAGCAATATAAAGACAATGGATTTCAAGAAGGCAGACTTCAGCAAACTCAGGGAGTTGGTAGGAAAGATCAAATTGGAAGCAAGTCTAAGAAGAAAAACAATTGAAGACTGTTGGCAGTTTTTCAGAGAGACATTATTAAAGATACAAGAGCAAACTATTCCAATGTGTAGGAAAGACAGGAAGTATTGCAAGAGACCACCCTGGCTTTAACCTGGAGATCTTGAATGATTTAAAAATCAAAAAACAGTCCTACAAAAAGAGGAAACTAGATCAAATTACAAAGAATGAATATAAACACCATAAGCATGTAAGGGAAAAATTAGAAAGGCCAAAACAAGCTCAAACTAGCAAATGACAAAAAGGGTAACAAGAAAACATTCTACAAATATGTTAGAAGCAAGAGGTAGGTAAAGGACAGGGTAGGCCCATTACGAAATGATGAGAGAAAAACAAAACAGAAAATGTGGAAATGGCAATCATGTGCGTCAAAGCAAATTTCTCACCTCTGTTATTTTTATATTATCGCCTGTATCTGTCATCTTCACTGGAGTAGAATGCTGAGAAACAGCTCCCTCATCTTCTTTGTCAGTCCCAGAATCATCTTCTGAACTACTTGACACTGCTTCCTCACTTGGGGGAGGTGGGGCACTAGCAGCTGTTTTGCGCTGCAGCACAGTTTCTTCCCTATTAGTTTTGTTCCTAGATAGTAAAAAGAGTGTTCACACACTTCATGAGATGAACACAAAATACTTTCAAAATACCATAGATACCTTCAAGAATTTTGGTTATCATTTCATTTGCATAGGGTAAAAAGAGAAATTCTACTTTCTGTACTACTACTGTTATTCTTAAGGAAGGGCTTCACCTATCCATTAAATCCCCTATTTTATCTTTTCTGTGATTAGTCGTTATTTCTGCATCTCTTCTCTCATTGTTGAATGTCTGAAATAATGCCTTTGACTATTCCAGCTTTCCACCATTTTTTGCTCAGTCTCTTTTTTCATCCCTGCTGTCTTTCTAAACAACTTTATGTATTTTTCATGATTGATTCTGGCAACACCAAACCCAGTAAGTTATTTGTCTTTCTACTTAAATTTTCTTCCCAGATCTTCAAAATTAAAAAAATAAAGCCATAAAACTGCTGGATAGTGCTAGTGACTTTCATCCTCCCCAAAGTGTCACCTATAGATCAAGGAACTCCCTGCTCACATTTTTTACTGCCTGACATTTTCTTTTGGGTGTTCTATCATTGTCTCAGAGTCAGTCTCTCCAAAACTGAGTTTATCATCTTTCCTCCTACTCCCTCTTAGCCACGTGGTGTCTTCAACACCATTGACACATCCACTCTTTGTCCTGTTCCCAGGCTCACAACCTTGGTGTCATTCTTGACTTCTCTTTCTCCCCCTTTCCATCCTTTATTTCTTCCCCTTTAAACATCAATGTTCACTTTTTTTCAAAAACTACACACTTTCTCACTCCACACTCTCTGAAAAGCTTTCATCACTTCCTGCCATGGCTAGTCTCTTATTCATTTCAATTTACAAATAACATCTCCCTCTTCATTTCCACCAGTCTTATCAACCTCTCTTTACTGTTTCCATATAGGAATCTGAAGCCACCTTATGAAGGATCTTTCCAAGATAGATTAAAATGAACAGAGAGCTTACTATTCTGTCCTGTTTTCTTTACATTAGCCAATTTATTCATAAGAAGGTGAACTCAAGATATAATTTACAACCAAGCCTAAAGATTTTTTCTTTGATGAATTTTCATAGCCTGCTGCAAACAATGGATATTAGTGTTTCTCAAAAATAAATACCTTTGGTAAATTGGAAAAATAATTCAATAATGTTATAATAGAACGTTTATGGACAATTAAATATATGCGTCACTGCCAGTTCTCCCTACCACAAGGTACATATAAATATTTTTAAAATATATTATTATATTGCAATGTTCTTAACATGGAAATATACAAAATGCACAAATATCAGAAGAGGAAAATGACTAGTTTTTTAATTTCTATTTACTGTGAAGATTCTCAGAGTGCTTTATACGCTGTGTATAAAGATGCCATCTCACCCATTATTAAATATGCAGTCACCTCAGAGGTGGAACATAGAAGATATTTTATGAAGCCAGTTTTACACAACTATTTAATGTGGGAAAGTAATAAGTAAGAAGATAATTTAAGATTAAAACATTCTGGAAGTACTAACAAAAAAAATCGATGAGTATAACACCACCATTCTGAAAGCGCAACTTTTTATATATTAAGCTAGCTAGGTAGGCCACACTAGTGGTCCTCCATCTCAGTGGGCTGCAAGATTGTTGCAACAAAGATGGTTTCCTAGGATGGAATAGTTTTGCTAACTGTGCTTGCATAGCTAGAATTTGTAAGGATGTGCCAACTGAACCATATCAGTGTTTTGAAGGCAGAGGAAGCACATAGCTCTCATAGTCAATGCTGCATGCAATCAGTATGCACCTCAATTCACATGTTCTTACATAAGAACATAACAGCCATACTGGGTCAGACTAAAAGTCCGTCTAGCCCAGTATCCTGTGTTCCAACAGCAGCAAATGCCAGATGCCCCAGAGGGAGTGAAGAGAAAAGGGAATAATCAAGTGATCCATCTTCTGTCATCCATTTCCATCTTCTGACAAACAGAGGCTAGGGACACCGTTCCTACCCATCTTGGCCAATAGCCATCGATAGACCTAACCTCTGTGAATTTATCTACTAGTTCTTTTTTGAACCCTGTTAGTCCTGGTCTTCACAACATCCTCTGGCAAGGAGTTCCACAAGTTGACTGTGTTCCATGTAGAAAAACTTCCTTTTGTTTGCTCTTGCTTTAAGTCTGTGTCACTTCAGTAATACAAGTATGAACAAAATCCTAGGTGGACAGAAACCAGAGGAATTGTGGCCAACAGTAAACAAAATGTCTTGTGGACCACACACACAGAACCCCGATAGGCTACATATGTCCCTCAGGCCGCTGGTTTCCCACCACCTGCTTAAAGAATCCATAGGCCTCCTCCAGCAATATTTAAGTCTATACATATCATGTTGTGCTTTTATGTATTTTACTTCTTCTCTGGGACAGGAGAATAAAACATTAAGGGATAGAATCCTTGGGCCTGTTCCTTTGGCATATGCAATAATACAGGAAAAAAGAAGTGGGGATAAAGGAATCTCTGAGCCCTGGTCAAATTAGTAATAGGAGCATCCACACTACCAAGCCTATTATTTTGAAACAATGGTGGTTTTTTGGGGTTTTTTTTTTTCAAAATCTGTACTCCTGCTTTCCTCGGGGAATAACACTTATTTCAAAATAGCTATTTTGGATGCTCTGCTGTTGCTACTTTGAAATAACTACTCTCCAGTGCTTCCTAGGAATCTAAGTCAAGGTAGCGCATCCACAATAACTGAGTCTGCCTTGAACTAATTTTAAGGTTCCCCCATAATATGGCCATGCTATTTCGATTTTATTTTGGGAGTTATTACTTCAAATTTAGTTATTTTGAAATAATTTCCTAGTGTAGACATGCTCTATGCCATCACTGTGGCTTCCTTATCCATTGACCACTAGGTAAAAGCAACTTAGAGAAGTTTTGCTGCTGTTCTAAGTTCCACTGACTACATCAGTCCTCAAAGGGTCAAGTGGTTAGTAGGGGACCACTGATGTATTGCAGTGCCCTAGTCATGACTATTTTGCTCTGTCATACATCAACTGTGGCACTAGCAGATGGTGTCATAAAGCTGTCTATGTCAGTTTTAAGTGACCTGGAAAATTTTCAGGAATCTATTTAATTCAACTTTAAGGTTTGATTGTTTAGGGACTTTTGCTGATTGTCAATGGCACCGTAGAAGACGAAACAAAAAAGGATTATAGCTGAAGGAGTTACTCAATGCAGATCATCAGATGAAGAAAATGGAAGAAAAAACAGAAGCATTTGCTAGTACTTACTCCTGAAGCAGTTTAATATCCTTTACTGTCTGCCAACCTGTAAGTGAAATGACTTCAGACTAAGTTCAGAACACCTTGACACTAATCCCCTGGAAATATGGACCCAAAAGCAAGAACCAGTCATAATACCCCTGGAGATTTAGTGCTAGACTTTGGGGGGAAAAATACAATTATTCTGATCTGTCACTCACAGCAGACAAGGCACACTATCAGTTCTTGGAATTTGTATTAAGAGCATAGACATCTTGATAACCTCTTGTAGATAGCTACAACTATTTATTTTTCCCTTGGAAAAATACAATAAAGATATGTTTTGCAAATGGATTTTTAAGACTAAAAACAGGAGTACAAAGAAGGATGCTCTACTTCATCTAATGTTTCAAAACAAAAAGAGTTCAAGCACACAAGTTCACAAGGATATTTAAGCTGGGAGGACAAGAGATCTCAGAATGGATCCTCATAAATAAACAGAACAAGTTGGCCTGCTACTTGAAACAAATCAATATTTAGGTACTTATTAAATCATTTGTCTCTGTAACATTACAAAAAAACAAGGAGGGGACTGACAAATCAATATACATTTCAGAGATGCCTCAATAAAATGCTAAAAGTCTATTGTATCAAACGGCAGTACAGTTAGGTGCCTTTTTCAACCAGTAGTTACTGTTCTTTTAGAAAATATTTTTTTAACTGCATTCAGCTTTATTGATGTTCTATGCCAAAAATGTGAGACATCACAGAAATGTCTGAACAATGTATTCTTTGTTTGGGGACACCGATGTATACTACCTTGGAGAGGAACAAAAATCAAAGTAGCTTTGCTCTACCTAATACAAAAACTGGAAAGAGCAAAAGAGAAAAAGCTGCTAGATAGTGTAATCTATCAAGGCCTTATTTTGAAAGAACAGAATTTTTTCCCCTTTCATACTCATGCTTTATCTTATGTCAAGACCCCCTTTTCCAGTCTCCCCTTAAAGATTAGAATATTTGAAGTTCTGAAAACAGGAATGATATGGATATGAAAGGGCTCAAGGCTAACTTTTTAAAATTTAAATACTTAGAAGCCAGACAACTAAATAAGTGTCCTGATTTTCAGACAGTGACTATCCACAGCTCTGACTGACTGCCATTGAATTATTTCATTCTATTTACTCTTATAACCAATAACTTTTATATAATATTAGCAAACAAAAACTATGTTCAGAGACCATTAAGATTGTGGTAGGACATATGCCCTCCTTTCAAAAATTTAAAATAATGGGAATGAGAAGTTAAGGAAATTATTTGTTCATTCCTTTCAACCTTCATATTGATAGCATTGTATATATCACACTCTTATATCCCAAAAGGCCTTTTCTCTTTAATTTCCAATAGATATAAAAAACCAATACATACATCATTTTCATCAAACTAGCTCTCTAACACAAAACCTTAACAGTGACTTCACCAGTGTGAAGATAAAATAACTTCTCAAATGCATAGAATGTGAGTCAAATGTGCTTATTGGTTGATATAACAGAAACAAAAGCATACAAGAGCCTTACAAAAGTTTTGTTAAGTTTGATTAAGTTAAGGGTACATACTGTTCACTAGTTGTTGTGTTCTAGGTTGTGGTTGGCAGCTTTAAATCAATAAAAAAAAGATAGGAAATCCTTATTGATGAGCTAGGGGTCACTAGATGAAATTAACAGACATCAGGTTTAAAACAAACAAAAGGAAGCATTTTTTCACACAATACAGTTATTTTGAACTCCTTGCAACAGGATGTTGTGAAGGTCAAGATGATAACAGGGATCAAAAAAGAACTAGATATATTCATAGAGAATAGGTCCATCAATGGCTATTAGCCAGGTTAGAAAGGGATGGTGTGCCAAGCCTCTATTTGTTGGAAGTTGAGAATGGGTGACGAGGTGGATAATCTGATGATTATCCCTTCTGTTTATCCTCTCCGGGGCACCTGGCCCTGGCCACTGTCAGCAAACAGGATACTGGGCTAATGGACCTTTTGTCTGACCAAATATGGTCATTCTTATGTATTTATGCAAATTGCATGAAAATTTAAACAGAGCATAGAAGAGGAAGATCTGAACTTCCCTTTTCTGTCTCAGATGAAGGAACCTTCTCCTAGACTACAGTGCTATTTGGATCCATCTTTTTCCATCATCAGCATTTGTGGAGCCTTCTCATTAAATTATTTTTAGTACATTTAGCAGGGAGCACATATTTTTTGTTGCAGTTATAATGCTCTGTAGGCGCATACCAATATATCACTGATATTCTCAGAATTGGCACATGAGAAGCCGTAACAGAGACAGAGGAAAGGTTGCAGATTTTAAGATTTCTGGCAGAAGGAGTACAAAGGAAAGTTACACAATCTTGGGTTAATACTCCTGTTAAAATAGAATTTTAATACAACATCATGCACACATAGGATTACTAATGTGTCAGAGTATCTATACAAATGAGTTTTTTAGGCCTCTCCATGACTGTTGTTTGCCCATTCCAAATGACCACTCCACTCTTGGGCTAAGTCTAGGCTGCAGGTCTCTTTTGAAAGAGGCTTTTTTGAAAGATACTTTCGAAAAAACCTCTTTCGAAAAAGAGCATCTAGACTACAACCAATACTTTTGAAAAAGCAAGCTACCCTGTAGTCCGGATGCTCTCTTTCGAAAAAGCACAGTTTGCATTACATAGCGCCTTTTTTTGAAAGAACACGTTTGAAAAAAGGCGTTCTTCCTTGTAAAACGAGTTTTTCTGCGGTCAAAAAATCTGCCACATTCTTTCGATTTACTTTTGAAAGAATGTGGCAGCAGCAGTCTAGATGCTGCGGAAGTTTTTTTGAAAAAAAAAGGCCACTTTTTTTGAAAAAACCCTGTAGTCTAGACACACCCTTGGTAGTAAGCATGCATCCTGCACAAAATCATTAGAAATTTCCCCCCCTAAGAGTATCCCCTGAGGTGGTTCAAGTATCCTCTGTTGCTGCACACCATTGTAACTGCCATCACTAAGATTTCTCAGTTTCTTTTTGCTGGACAACTGCGGCACGGAGGAGTAGGAAGGGGGCGGGGGTCATGGAATGGATAGCTGGAAGAACAGCAGTTACAGAAGGTTAATAGCGTTTTTCTCTTCGAGTGATTGCATTCCACTTTTAGTGAGTAACAAGCTATACAATAGAAAGAGGAATCAGAGTTCACATACCCATACATGCATACAACTTGTCCAAATTTAGCATAATGTCTAGAATACTGTGTGATGGCATAACAGGATGCATGTCTGTGCACTGAAGATCAAGCCACCATCTACAAAATTTCTTTGATAGGAATTTGTGCAAGGAATGACATGGAGAACTCTTTTGATCTAGTGGAATGTACCATCACTTTGCTCAGCAGAGAAATGCCTGCCAAACTGTAACATACATGAATGCAAGAAGTTATCCAAGTTGAAATTATTTGGGAAGAGATTGGGAGAACCTTTATGCTGCTTACAATGACCACAAATAGTTGAGCTGACAAATGAAACTATTTAATATTATGCACGTTGTTTCTCAAAGTTTAGCCACCTTCCAAGTCTGAAAAGCTACTAAGAAAGTCACCTGCAGTGACAGATGCAGTAAAGAGTGTGTGCTCTTTTAAAAGCTCAAATAAAGGCCCAATGAACTTTTATAAAACCGGGTTCAAGTCCTAGGGGGGATGAGAGAAGAGCTTCTCTAAAGATACAACCTGTCTAGATCCTTCAAAAATATCATGGCCATGTAATCAAAAAATACAGAACATGAGAAAATATAGAACATGTCCACATGAGGATGGAAAATGGATATTGCCATGAGGTGGATCTTAATAGAAAAAAATTGCCAACCTTCGCTGCTTTAGGTGCAACAGATCATCCAGAATGTTGGATAGAAGACTGCCTCTTGTTGCTCAGAAACAGGCTCAGTACGATGCAGTGCCTGTTCAGTAGACTCATTGTGCCTCTCTGAAGACATAGAGAAGGAACACTATACATCTGATCTGGAAACAGGGAGTAGGGGAGACCCATGGGCTACTGGATTGGTTGTGAGCCTGAGTGACACTCCAACCACTGAGCCACATGCCTGATGGTACTCCCATCAGAAGGTCCCTGTCAGAGATCATGACCAGACACAAGGTAGGAAAATGTAGGTGCCAATCTCTGATTCAGAGGACCTTCCTATGCTGAAAACAGGGAGTTGCTGCTGATGGTGGTGCCAGAGACTGGTGCTGGGTCATAGTATAGTCAACATTGTAGGCTTCCTCTTTAATGTGTGTGAAGGTCAGGTAAAATACATTGTTTTAGTAGAGAGAACTCCTCAATGCTACTGGAGCCCATCTGTCCACTGGTATGGAGAGTGTAGCCTCCCGGACCACCAGACATTCCTGTACTAGAAAGTTCACCTGCCTTGAGGGCGGGGGGCTGGACTCGATGACCTCTCGAGGTCCCTTCCAGTCCTATTATTCTATGATTCTATGATTCTATGTCTTGCTACTGCAAAAGCCTCCAGCATGCTTGTTCTTAAGATGCAGAAGGTTGTCCTTTAGGCACTGAAGTCAAAGATAAAATTGCCTTGCTGCCAGTGTCAAGGGGGCCGGTTTCTGTGGAGCCAGAGAAGTACTTGAGTTTCAGCTGCTCTCTACTCTTAATTCCCATGCCTAGAGGACTTCAGTGCTGCCTACCTTCCTCTCTTGACAGTCTGCTTACTAGGGAAGGTACATGATGCTGAATCTCAGAAAACACAGGAAGCCCTCCATACTAGGTACGGAGTTTAGTCAGGTTCTGACAGAGGTCTCAGGCACCAGTTCTTTTGCCTGGCTTTTTCTGTCTTTCATATTCCAGGCTTAAAATCTTTACAAATTTGGTAACAACCCTGGAGTATAGGTTTCCCCTACACACTTCAAAAAGCTTGAGTGTGGGTCACTCATAGGTATTGGCCTGGTGCAAGAGACACAGTATTTAAGGGCTAGTGACAGAGGCATCTCTTGGGTCCAACAAATTGAAAATCCCCAAACTGGGGCCCAAGAAAGAAACTTATCCTATCTACACTATTAACTGAATATCAATCATCTAGTAAACTGCCTACAACTAATTTAAAACAAGCACAGTTAAAGCACTGAGCAATTCTAAAGAATGTCATGGCAGAAAGGACCAGTTGTGGAATTTTGTAGGCAGTTGGGCCCATTATACCAGCATATAGTGGCACTCAACAATAGAGGGTACTGGAGCCACTCCAGTGGGTACAACTGATGGAAAAAATGCTTTACGACTGAGTGGGTGCATGCACAAATCACCAAGAATGGAGTGAACATGCACAGTCACTTGAAGAATGGCTATACTTTTCTGAAGATAAACATTCAAGATCAGACCTTCAACTGGTCTTTTAATTTTATATTAGTACACTGAAGACAATTCTGATTTTAATTACAGTCTCAAATGACTTTTGTGATTCTCAGCAGACTTTTTTAGGAATTTATTACACAATTAAATATGTATTATGCATAAAACACAGTGCAAACACATACGCTATGTTATCATACTTATTTATTTAATAGTACACTATATTACAGCTTTCCCTCAATAATATACTATTACGTGTAACACTTACTTTTTCTTACTACCTTAGGGTGTGTCTAGACTACAGGGTTTTGTCGACAAAAGTGGACTTTTGTCGACAAAACTATACCTGCGTCTACACTGCCGCTGAGTTCTGTCGACATAATGTTGACAGAACTCAGCAGTTTTTTCGACAGCTGTAAACCTCATTCTACAAGGAATAACACCTTTTGTCAACTGAGTTCTGTCGACAGAAGGCGTTATTGCATCTACACTGTCCTTTGCATCTACACTGTCATGTCGACAAAGTGGCCTGCTTTGTCAACAGAACTGGCTGTAATCTAGATGCTCTTTGTCGACAGACGCTTTGTCGAGAGTATCTGTCGACAAAATTTCTGTCAACAAAAGCCTGTAGTCTAGACTTATCCTTAGATATAACATCTTCTCATTTTTGTTCATTCTTTTTTGTATTCGCTAATTTGTCAACATTATGATCATTAAAATACTGAACTTTATTTCATAGTTTTCTTTATCATTGTTTCCTCTACAAATAATGCTGTTAGCACAAGTGAGCCATATATTTTCTTTTTAACACATCAGCGTGGTTTTCTTTAGATTTAATTCAGGGGAGAAGGCAGTTTTTTACAAAGCTAATTTAGATGCAAATTAATGTTTGCTATATATACACATTAGAAAATGTTCACTATTATTCTAAACTATGCCTAATCTGTAATATGTTTTTAATGTGTACACTAACCCATAGAAGTTATTTTATAGATTCTGTTTGTCTGGTATACACAGGGCAATACACAGTAAAACAAGATGCTACCAACCCTGTAATAAATATATTATAGGCCTGATTCTAAGTCCACTGGAGTCAGTAAGAATCTTTCCATTTATTTCAAATAGGCCTTGGCTCCCTTATACTCTCTTAAGTGCAGGTAGGTTTTAGCCTTACGCCTCACAAGTCAAGTTCCATGTATGGCTTCTGTGTCCCCTTCAAGTTATAGTTAATCTTGAACTAAATAATTATGCATTTCATTGTTAACTGCATTCCACTGTACAATGTTGATGTTATTATGCCAGTAAAATGTCTTAAATTCCATATTTTATATGTAAATCTTACCCCATCACTGATTTTCCAGTTTCATCAGGTTTACGCACAGTAAATGGACTTGGATCAATTCCAACATTCTTGGGCATGAAATCTCTGAAGAAGGGCAGGAAAATCAGCCATAAAATAAAGCTCAACATGCAAAATATGCTTCTGAAACTATATTTAGTCGGGTTTTGTTGAAAATTCTTCACAGCCACAAGTCTGCACATCTTGTAACATTTAGTTCTGAATTTGAAAACTGTTTTTGTGAATTAACAAGGATTGTCTAGGTTAAACTTTGATTAAAAGTCATAGATTCTTCTATAAAAATTGAAATCCAAAAGAGATTTACAAAACCTTCAGTTGTACCACACAGACCGTAAAACAGGATTGTGCACAGAGTTGTCATGTGTGAAGAAGGCTGTGGCTAATGGAGACTTAAAAATGCTATTTTCATGATGGTGTTGGCCCTCAAATTAGTTCTATTGGCCATTTGAGACATCATTTCTACAAAAGCCATTAGCCAAAGCATGCATGCGCAAATATTTTTTTAAATACTCATTTGACATGATCCAAGTTGTCATTGCTTCCATCTGGAAAACACGCTCAAGGTAATTGTTTTAATTAACTCCAAATGAACACAACCTTACAGAACATATCTGAACAGAGATAATTTTTCTCCTAGATCAGAATTAGAATGGGCTTATATACATGGCACTACAATCCAGACAATGACTTGTGTAGGTCTCTAACATGCTGCATTCTATGGGCCCCATATAAAAAGTTGCATGCACAAAAAAGTTACCTAGTTTAAGTTAACATGGTCCTGTTTTAAATGGGGCTACCTCAAAGCTAACTAGGTACCTTTTAGTTTGTGCCAGCAGGATCTAGGTGTCTTCATGGGGCTATTAAGAGAGCAACTTGTTAGAGCAGTCTATAATTCATACACTGTAGCCTGGACTAAGGCATTGTGTAGACAAAATTGCATGATTGAAATGAACTAGCATTGTCTAAACAGTCTGCACGTAAATGTCCTCTTTCAGCTGAATAGAGCTGAAAACCAGAGGTTCTAAATTGGGGTGGCACATGAAATTTTCAGAGGAAGATGGTAGTGAACCTACTAATATTCAGTAATTAAGGAAATGTGGAGTCGAAGTACCAGGTTGCAATGTCACTCAAAGCTGGTTCAGCCACCCCTCATCACACGAGACAGAGGGGCAGACAGTCCAAATTTGAGAGATGTTGTGACCCTGCACACCAGGTTGCAACACCACTTGCTCAAATCTTTCACTGATTAACATCAGCAGCACTAATACAGGTAAGGTGTGTTATATACTACCATCTGATCTGTATTTTGAGTAATTTGCCTGGTATCTCATGAAAAATGCATTAACAATACCAGCTAATAATAACCTTTCCACTATCCCACTATTGGAAGGGTGGGGGAGGGCTCCAAGTAAAAACAAATACTAACAGGGGGCAAGATACAAAAAGGCTGAGAACACTGCCCTAAAGTAAGTTTAAAGTTACACATTAACATTATGAAATCTAAACTATATGGCTTATAACACTGCAAAACATACCGTATAGAATTGGTCATTGCCAAGCAAAAGGTGTCATCAAAACAGCTTAATTCATATGGACGAAAAAACTCATTGTGAATATCAATCTCCTCTTCATATTTGTGAAATCTCTTCACTATCAATTTCCTCCTGTTTTCAGTGCATGTCACTGAAAAGAGACAACCTGTTCTATTGCTAATCATTAGCACATTTGGAAAAACCTATTTGCATACTTCTATAATAATTTACCCAGATACATTTCCATATGTTCTTTCTAGAGAACAAGAAATATAATCTAAAAACTAGATACATATATTTGAGAGGATACATTACATAAGTTAACTAGTTAATTTGATTTCCCTTTATAATTGACATTTCCAATTTGAATAGTCTCCAAGCTAGAGGAGTGGTGATGTGTCTTCCAATTATATTTGAATCAGCATTGGTTAAATTATTCCTGTGCATCACCAATTTACAATACTTCTATCCAAATACAAATAAGAAAGGCAAAAAAAGGGAAGTTACTCACTCTGTGCAGTAATGATGGTTTTTCAAGATGTGTATCCTTGTGGGTGCTCCACTCTTGGTGTTGGGCTCGTCCCAGCACTGCAGATTGGAGATTTTTCCAGCAGTATCTGGCTGGGCCATGAATGCATGCCAACAGGGTGGCACATGCCATTCACGCCTTTGGAGTTTATGCACGTGGCCTGATTCCCCTTAGTTTTCTTCATGCATGCTCAACTGCATGGAATAGATCCAAAGAAGAGGGGAGGAAGGGTAGGTTGTGGAGCACCCATGCGGGGGACACATCTCAAAGAACCGTCATTACTGCACAGGTTGAGTAACTTCCCTTTCTTCTTGGAGTGATATCTCCATGGGTGCTCCTCTGTTGGTGACCATAGCAGTACCTACCATGAGATAGAGTAGACTTTGGATTATATGGTATGTGCAGATGACAGAACCGTGAGCTACAGCAGAGCTTGTCTCCATTTGTGAGGATATTGTGTAATGTCTCATGAAGGTGTGGTTGGATGACCATATAGCTGCCACGCAGATATCCTTAAGAGGGATTTCCTTCAGAAAAGCAGATGAGGCAGCTATCGCCTGTGTAGAATACACTCTTGGGGTGTAGGAAGTGGTCTGTTTCCCAGTGAGTATCACTGGGTGATTCACAATATAATTATTTTGGAAATATGCTATGAATAATGGCAGGCCCTGAGAGCATTCCGCAAGGGAGAGAAATAGTGTTTGTGATTTGCAGAAAGGCCATGTATGGTCTATATAGAATGATAACGCCTTGCAGACATCCAGAGCGTGTAATACTGCCTCCTCACGAGAAGTATGAGACTTCGGATAGAAGGCAGGGAGAACAATGGATTAATTAATGTGAAATTCTGAGCATACTTTAGGTAAGAAGGAAGGATGGGGTTAGAGGACCACTCTGTCTTTATGAATCACACTGTAAGGTGGTGATGCTGTGAGAGCAGCAGTTTCACTAACTTATCTTGCTGATGGGATTGCTATTATAAGAACACCATCTTTGCTGTTAATATGGGGAGTGAGCATATTGCCAAGGGCTCAGATGGAGGACTAGTTAAGTGTATTGAGCCCAAGGTCCAGATCCCACCTGGGGGTTAAAGGTCTGTGCAAAAGGGTAAGGTTATGCAGCCCTCTAAGAAATCTCCTCACAATAGGATTTGCAAATATCAAAAACCCATCAATCGGAGGGTGGAAAGCCGACAGTACAGCAAGATGTACTCTAAGGGAGGAGTGTGATAGACCTTGATCTTTCAGATGCATAAGGTAATTCAGTATCATATGAAGGGGAGTGGTAGTCGGCTGAGCACTGACGCTGATGCACCATGCTACAAAGGAGTTCCACTTCTGAAGGTAAGTATTGCATGTGGTCTGTCTTCTACTCTGAATGAGGACACTTCCCACTTGCAGCAAACTTCTCTTTTCTGCCTCCGAGAACCAGAGAGAAACTACGCCATCAAGTGTAGAGTTTCTGGCTGTGAGTGGGGAAGCTAGCCTGTATTCTGAGACTCGATTACTCAGAAGCAGGTAAAGATGTCGATGAGATATCTGATAAAGACAGGGAAACTAAGTCTGTCTGGTCCAGATAGATGCAGGGGCTATAAGGATGATTAGGGCATTGTCCACCTCAATCTTCCTGATGAATCTCAGTATAAGATGAATTGGAGGGAATGTGCAATAGAGGAGAGCCTCCCATGTGATAAGGAATGCGTCTCCCAGCCCTATCCCCATACTGGATCAATATTGGGGACACTTGGAATTCTGGTATGTTGCAAAAAGATCTACCGCTAGAAATCCTCATCAATCGAATAGGGCATGCAGGACATCTGTATGAAGTTTCCATTCGTAGTCCATAGTGAAATGACAGCTTAGAGCATCCACAGTTGCATTGTTGACCCCCAGTAGGTACAATGAAACACAGGTGATGTTGTTGCGGATACACCAATTCAATAGGCTTACCATCTCTGCACAGAGGGATGGAGAGCGGACACCAATTCGGTGGATGATATAAAATATGGTGGTGATGTGGTCTGTAAGAATACACAGTGTGGAGTTGTGAATGTGCTGGACAAAATATTTGCAAGCATTGCTCACTGTGCAGCGCTCTAGGAGGTTGACATGCCAGCGAGATTTGTGAGCTAACGATATGCCTTGAGTGAAGTGACACCGCATGTGTGCCCCCCATCCGACAAAGGAAGTGTCCGTAGTGATTTGTGTAGAGGGCTGCATCTGGAGAAATGGATGTTCCTTGGACTGGTCCATCACATTATGGAGGTGCAAATCTTCACAGGGACAGTCACCTGCTTGGGCAGGTGGTGCTTGGATTGGACATAAACTGAGGACAGCCAATGCTGGAGGTAGCAAAAGTGCAGGTGCTCATATCAAACACCGTATGTCGTAGCAGCCATATGGCCCATAACCTGAAGACAGGTTAATACTGTCACGGTAGGGCTGGATGTTATGATCACAATAAGGCTTGTTATGTCTTCAAAGCATTAAGTGGGGACATATACTCTTGCTGTGGTGGAGTCCAGATGAGCTCCTATGAACTCTAGGGATTGCATGGGACATACGGTGGATTTTTGGTTGTTTATGATGTGGCCTAGAGATTCGAAGACCTTCTTGGTAAAAAGAATCATGTCCTGTGTCACTTGTCGAGATGGACCTTGTATAAGACAGTCATCGAGGTAGGGGAAAATCACAATGCCCTTGCGACGTAGATGCACTACCACCATGGCCTGGGTCTTGGAGAAGGTTCTGGGGGCAGAAAAAAGCATGAAAGGGAGGACTCAATGCTGAAAGTGTTCTGAGGAGACCGTAAAACAGAGGAAGTGTCTGAGAGCTGGGTGTATGATTACATGGAAATAAGCATCTTATTAGTAAGGGAAGCAGAAGCTGGTGTTTACCAAACCTCGTCCGTTGTCTCCATAATGGCTTCATCAATTGGAAGTGCATTCTTTGTTTTTGTGGATGGTTGTAAATTTTTCAAAAGCCTGTGTTGTTTTTCTTGCACCTCAAATAGGATGACTTCTTGACCAGTGGAGACCCTCTTGTAAAGCTCTTGAAATTGTTTTAAATCGCTGGTGGGAGATGTATCATCTGGGATGACCGCCTTGTCCAGTGAGGAAGATGACTTATCCATTGGAGAAGTTCCCAGTTGGTCAGGGTCAATGTCATCGATAATCTGTCCCTCTTCAGTTTTCAAATCCTCTGGTGGAGAAGAGGGACTATGGGAGTGAGAGACTGGCAATGATCTGTGTGCAGGCGTTGATGGTGCCAACAAGCAATGTCTGATTGGTGCCCAATGCCTATATGGAGACTACTGTGATGGTTAATGGGGTGGCAAGACTATACCGGATACCACGGAAGGTGGCGTGAATACCATATTTGGTGTACCTTATGGAGTGTAGTTGGTCTGAATGGGCAGGAGTAGTGGAAGGAGAACACCACCTGCGACTGTCATCGTATTCACTGTAATGCAAAAGGACCAGTGATCTTGGTGAACGGAAGGACCCTCTAATGGGTGATGAAGACTGAGAAGATTGTCAGTGGGGACCATCACGTGGCCATCTTGAACGCAGTCCAGACGCTGGCACTGGCACGTCATGACTGTGCTTGCAAATGGAGTGGTGGTGAGTAGATGAATGCTCCAGCAGTGCTGATGGAGGAGGCATCCATGTTAGCAGGGAAGAAACCAGAGGAGTCTCCGAGCTGGGAGAGCGGGGAAAGGCTCTGGTGGATTTTGCCTTGGCCTTTGCTGGTGCCGGTATTTTGACCAGCACCTACTGTGCGGGTGGCACCTGTGTTTTGTCTGGTTCCCGGGCATCCAATGCCTCCTTTGTCAGTGCTGAGGACTGTGCAGTTTGCAGTTTCAGTTCCTCAACTGATGCGGCATGGGAGTGCTTGGTGCCTGGCTTATCTTCTGTGCTGACTCGGTGGAAGGAGAGGGCTGGACTTACTCTCTTTTCTGTGGGTGGCTTAGACGAAGGTGAGCCCACCCATTAGTTTCCTTAGTGTGGGTCTCCTGCTGAGTACTCCCCTTCTTAGCTGTTTGAGGCTCCTGCGCCTTATCAAAGAGCAACATTCTGAGTCTGAGCTCTCTGTCTTTTTAGGTCTTGGCAGTGAGGCTGCAACAATGCACACATTTTTGTGGAACGTGTGCCTCAACCAAGCACCAAATACATGACCTGTGGCCATCTGAGGCTGGCATAGGGTTGCAAAACTTGTCACATTTTTTAAACTTGCGTGAGGCAGACATTTTTTTAAATTGGACTCTCCTCTGTTGTTATAAGTCTTGTAATATTTGTGTTATTTTGTAGACAATGCTTTCTATCTCCATCTCCTTTGAAAGGGATGTTATCAGGCCCAGTTTCACTGTGCTGTCTCCTGACGCAGTAACTATTTACATGAGGAATAAGTCTTTTCCTTTTTTTTTAAACAAGTAAGTAAAGAACAACAGTAACCAGACCTTTAAACTAACTGAGAACTAAATTCTTATCTACAGGTAGTCCCACAGGAGGAGAGAATCAGACTCCATCTACAACCGAGGGAAGTATGAAGAAAACAGGAGAGTCAGGCCACACTTGCAAACTCCAAAGCTGTGAACATCACGTGCCTGCCCGCCCTCCACCCCTCTGCCATGCATGCGCAGCCTGACCAGATACTATTGGAAAAATCTCCGATCAGCAGCACCGGGATGAACCTGACACCAACAGTGGAACAACCACGAGGACATCACTCAAAGAAGAACTATTTAAAATGCTTTCCTGCATGTGAACTTATAGAAGCCAAAGTCATATCCACAACTCTACAATAAGTACCACGCACAATATATATAATTTCTTGGTGGACATTTGGTGGGTGTAATGCAGGCATCTCATATATGCTAGTGAAACCCACAGCTCACTGAGAAAGAAATACTTGTCAGCTGTTACAATGGCACAGCTTTCATCATCAGTTTGTTAATTTGTAATTAAAGGAATACATGCAGACCACATAATGGCTGAATCAAAATCATCAGTATTTTTCCAAAAATATGCCCTAAAACAAAAAGAAAAAAGATACTTACCCTCATCATAAGGCAGCGGTAAGTGATTTAATACACCTTGTGTCCACCAGTAAGTGTAACTATGGGGGGGAAATTCACACATATATTAAAGTCAATTTTATTTTAAATAGAAAATAAATATTCAATCTACTAGCACATCTAAAATATACATACCCCTTTTTACACACTTAATAATAACCTAATTGTGCATGGTAGTTTATAGTGCAGGGGTAGGAGAAAGGAAAGAACTATCCTTGGCTTGAGGAGTTCTACAGTTCCCAGTCATGCAACTGCATCTTTGTAGTCAAATCCCTCGAAGTCAGAGGGGTTCTATGCAGCTGCTGCAGTTTGCCTACACAAAACTGCATTTACTTTAGGTGTTCACCTGTTTGACATTGGGATGTAAACGACCAGATGAGTAGTTGGCTACCCGATAAGCCTAGGCTTATCAGGTAGTCAAGTCACTATTCGACTACTCGCTCCCTACCTTCTGCCTATGTACCAGAGGCAGCAAGGGGGTGGGGACAAGGAGCTGGTGCACAGAGGAGCTGGCTTAAAAGCTGGTTCCCCCTAGCACTGGCTCTGCGGTGTGTGTGTGTGTGGGGGGGGGGAGGCAGAGGCACAGTGGTCTGGGACCCAAAGGGAGCTGGGACTCCTCAGTCCTGGCTCACACCTGGTCCTGGACTTATCCCAGATACGTCTCTGCATTTCAAATGTAGTAAGAGTAGGGTGGCTCTCACTACATTTAAAATTCAGAGATCAGTGGTTCAGGATCCAGTGCAAGCCCTGCAGCACTGGCCTCATGCTCCCTGTGGCTGCTTCAGCCTTTGAAATGTACAAGATCCCCACGGGATTCTTGTACATTTAAAAGGCAGAAGTGGCCGAAGGGAGCACAGGGCCAGGGAGAACTGCTTGAGTCCCCCACCTTGCCCCGTGCTCCCTGCAGCGCTTCTGCCGTAGTTTCCCTTTGCTTTTCTGAAGCTGAAGCCGAAGCCGTAGTTTCCCTTTGCTTTTCTGCCTTTAAAATGTAGTAAGCCACGGGTGGCTCTGACTAGATTTAAAAAGGCTTAAGGGTGGCTCCCTCTTATCGACTAATTGAGTAGTCAACAGAAATTCCATCGACTATTTGATTAGCTGATTAATCATAATTTAACATCCCTAATCTGGGACATATCCCCTCTGCTGTTTAAATGTAGTAGGAGCCGGGCTGCCTGCATGCTCGTCTCCTACTACATTTAAACTGCAGAACTACAGCAAGGCCCCTTATCAACTAATCGTGTAATCAACACCGATTGTACTGACTACACAATTAGTTAATTACCCACTTCTTAACATCCTTAGTTTGACAACAGGATTGGGGTTTAAGACATATCCACATCAAGGGAGATCAAAGAACCATATGGAGAGGGTGGCTGAGAAGATAATGGTCAGAAAAATTCACAATTATCAGATTTCTTACTGGTTAACATCTTTTTTTTTTTTTTTTTTTTACAGAAAAAATAGTGTTAACATTAAATGTGAAAAGACAGTATGGAGTGTGGAAATCAGTACTAATATTTATCAATAAATATTTGGCAAACTGACAATTTGCAGTTTTGTGAAAAATACAAAGCTGGGTTCCTAATAGGAGTGTTGATAGTCTTAAAAAGACACTTTCACAGGAAATTTGTTAATAATAGAGGTCTGAGAAACAGAGTGCTTCGTTACTGGAATATTTAACTGCAAAGATGAAGTGCTCTAGCAGCTCTTATGGAAATCAATAATCAACTGGAAAACAAAATGGAGCATACTTTTTCTTTCAGTTATTCATATTTACTCATTCCTATTTTCCCTCATAACTATATATAATTTTTTTCTAAATTGTACCAACATCACTCCTGGAAGGAAAGAAAAACAGTTATCTACATGTTTTTTTGAGACAAACATATGATTCTAAATATTAAGGACCAGATCCTACCTATACCAATATAATGATCAGCAGAAGACACACTGTGGGAGTTCTGCTACCCAGATCCCTGTCACATAGGTTTTTATACCACGCACATCACAGTAGCATCCGAGAATTTTCCAGCTGTGCACTAAGCAACGTGAGTAAACATCCCTCACGTGTTGTTTGTTCTCTCATCCCCTCCCTAGAGCAGAAGTGTGTGCAGTCAAGTGTCTTGTTTTGATTATGTGTTCATTTTATTTTCTTGTTTAAAATATACTTGTTACATGTTTATGTTTGAGAATGAACGGTCAAAGAAATGTGTTTTGCACTTGTAGCAAAAAGTGGCAAAGGTCACGACAGTCATTAGTTCCCCCACAGTCTTGAACTGCACTTGAACAAAGTTTTGTCCCCTGAACATACAAGCTTTACTTTTATGGTGGAAAGCACTATTGCACCAGAGAAGCATAATTGTTTGCAATGGTCTTTTAGGTATAAAAGCACTAGGCCACAGAGCGCTTTGAAGGTAAGGACAGAGACTGCGAACTTGATTTGAAATTCTATGGTATGCCAATATAAAGACCTGAGGACAACATTCATGGTAGTCTGTGTTGCTGAGGGGATGCATTGCAGTGTTATGAAGTAGGTGGAATTTCCTAAATGCTAAAGTTTTCATGTCCAGGCATAATGCACTGCTGTGATCCATTCATTCATTTATTGCGTGATACTATGATTGACTAACATGTTTTGACTCACTGTATGTTACAGAGAGTTAAGTTGTAGGAGCATAGAGTTATAAAACTGATCAGTATTTGGAGGAACCATATATCAGATATAAGATAGACAGATTGAAATGCAAGAACCTGAAGGCTGAGGCCTGCAAGATTTTAGCATAACTATTCTAAGCCTCAGAGATAAGAAATGCTGACATAAGTGACCAAAGAATAACTCACTGCCCTAAGATTAGGGGAAAAGAGGCATCAATGGTTGCTATTCTAAAAATTATCAGTAAGAATAATTTTTTGCTTACAAGATACCCTGTAATCACATTTTTCTAACACATGCCCTAACTGCAGGGTGTAGTATGTGCAGAAATGCTGATAAGGCACAGTCCGAATCACATTATAAAAGAATGCACAGAGTAGAAAAATTCAGTTCCCGATGGGAATCTCCAGCTGGAACCATCCCTCTACTGATAATCAATCCATGGGAGACCCATCAGACTCTTTATACTCACATCCTTAACAATAGTGTAATTTTATTTGTTTGTGTATAGGTCTGTACAGAATTTATATATACTTGGGAATTCATAACTTTATTAAAACTTGTAAAAGAAAGATAAGTATCAGAGGGGTAGCAGTGTTAGCGTGTATCCACAAAAAGAACAAGGAGTTCTCTTGTACCTTGAAGACTAGCAGATTTATTTGGGCATAAGCTTTTATGGGCAAAAACTTCACTGGCTGCAGGGAGTGGAAATTACAGAGGTAGGTATAAAGGTAACTCCCTTCTTTTCATGTACTAGTATATTTATGCCTGCCTCTGCAATTTTTATTCCATGCATCTGATGAAGTGGGTTTTTGTCCATGAAAGCTTATGCCCAAATAAATCTGTTAGTCTTTCAGATGCCACAGGATTTCTTCTTGTTTTTGTAAAAGAGAGACTAACTCTTGTACATGTTAATATGTGTATGGTTACTACCCTTAGGCTATGTCTACACTACAAGGTTTTTGCGCAAAAACTGGTAAAGCGTCCACACCTCAAGTGCGTTTTTGTGCAAAAAAATTACAGTAAATTGACAAGACAGAGAGCTTTTGGTTGGTGGAGTTATTCCTCTCCCCATGAGGAATAACTCCTTTTTGCGCAAGAGCTCTTGCGCAAAAAGGCATGTGTAGAAACTCTGCAGGAGCTTCTTGCGCAAAAAGAGCCTATCAGAAAAAGCACAGGTGCTCTGATGGCCATTCTGTTAATGGCAATCAGAGCTTTCTTACACAAGAGTGTCCATGCAATGCGCTTTTGAGGTATGGAAGCGCTTTTATGCAAGAAGTTTTTGTAGAAGATTTCTTCTGCAAAAAGCTTCTTATGCAAAAACCTTGCAGAGTAGACAAAGCCTTAGTCTTTATGTGTTCCTAGAGACTCTAAATCTGCAGCAAGTAGCAAAGATCATTTTCACTCTGTTAAGCTTGAAATGTTAGCCACCAAAGCTGAACCTACAGGATGTAATGCTACCTTACATTATTCACTTTAAATACGAGAAAAGGCTACAATGACCATAACTCCCTCCATCCCCCTCAAAAAAAAAAAAAAAAAACACACCTGAAGAAACAATGCCAGGGAATGCTGTGAAGTGCCAAGTTATATCTGTGTTTAAAAAGAATTAGACAAGCTCATGGAAGACAGGTCCATCAATGGCTATTAGCCAAGATGGTCTGGATGTCCCTAAACTTCCGACTACCAGAAGCTCGTTGAGAGGAGACGGATCACTTGATAATTGTTCTGTTCTATTCACTTCCTCTGAAATGTCTGGCACTTCAAAATAATAGAATACTGGGCTAAATGGACAATTGGTCTGACCCAGTATGCCTATTATTATGTTCTTATGTAATGCTCCTATGAAAACAGATGAAACACAATAGAAAATGGTAACTTAGAGACAGTTCTTTTAGATGCAGGATGGCTTGATGCATAGTATTAAGATGAAGCTAGTAGCTATGTGGATTTTTTTTAAAAAACTGAATCTTCTCCAGATAATATCTAAAGCAGGATTTTAGATCCAACAACTGAAGTAACCAAACCCACACAAGAACGAACAAGGATGCAGGGTCAAAATAATGTCAGACTGCCAAATCAGGAGAAGCTTCAGCAGCAATTTTGAAACATTCTCTGAACAAAGTTTCCAATATTATCTGTTCTTATAAAATTAGTATGATGTAGAGAGGCAGTTAGTCATTACAATCCTAAACAGAATCATTCAATGTGCTGAAGTTTGAAGATCCTCAAAAATCATCTCTCCTGCACAATAGGAGTGACAAATAAAACTGGACTGATACAGTCTTCAAATTGTACTGGAGGTGAAGAAGAACAGAAATGTAAATGTCTTGGTCTATATTTTCTGAGCATGAACTCCTATATCAAAAAATATTACATCAATAAATATGATTGGCTGAAATTGAACAGAAATAATTTAGTCTACAGATTAATGAAATGCTGGTAACTGCATTTTAATAAAAGAGCAAATTATTTCATACTCCAAGGTTCATTCACATGAAAGTCCATCTTTTTACTGTCCTTTTCCATGAGACAGAAGCATTTCATCAAAACGTCACAGTTCATAACAAGAAATGATGGTAATCAATGTTTTCAAATATTTAAAATATAGTAATGATGTATTTGTTTCAAATAACCTACCTTTGCAAGGTGAGTGTTTTACTACCTGCTTATTTTGCAAAGAAAAATGTATTTGAGACAGATGTTCAAAATCAATTTAAAGATTTTTAAATTTTGAAAAATGTATTATGAAAATGAATGATAATACGGAACTACAAAATACCTTCGCCTTGCCTGCGAAAGACTCATAGTGTTTTTGTGATGCAAGTAAAAATCTGTAGGAAGCTCCCAAAGATGAGGTTTTCCTTCTGCAGGCTGAAATACTCCCAAAAACAGATTTATGGAGTCTTGCCTGTCAGCATCTGTAAAATAAGAGGTACACTTGGAAGTTGTTTATTCTCACAAAAAATTGATGGATGCATTTGTAATACCATCATAGCTATGACGTGTATTTATTGCAAGACTAAAATTCCACTGGTTTACATTTCAATATTTGAATTTTAAAACTTTTCAGAAGACAACTAGCATTTTTAAATATATTTAATTTGTTCACTAACTTTTGCTGCAGAATAGTTTTAAAGTGCTCTCTTTTTAGGTGTTTTGTCTTGTTTTCTTCATATTTCTCTTGATTCTAACAAAGGCCACAGGACTTTCCTGAACTAATTCCCCTTTGAACTAGAGCACAGTGTTTAAGAAAAACATCCAATCTTTATTTAAAGATTGGTGGTGCTGAATAATCCTCTGCAACCCTAAATAAGTTGTCCCAATGATTAATTACCTTCACTGTTAAAAATTTACAAACTTACTTGCAGTTTGAATTTCTCTAGCTTCAGCCTCCAGCCACTGGAGTGTTCTAAGTTTATTTTCTACACTGAAGAGCTCATTATCAAATTTCTAGGCCGGGGAGGGCAAAATATGGCCCATGGGTCACATCCAGCAGCCCAGTGAGAGCCTCGGGCAGACTCTCTGACTTACACCACCCCCCTCCCCAAGAGGTCGGCTGCAGGAACCATGTTTTTCTCTGAGGACTCCAAGTTCCCACCCCCAGCACAATTTTGCATCGTCCATTAGATCTTACCTCCCCCGAACCCTCTGCTCCTCCTGCAACCCTGTCTCAAAGCTATAAACCAAACCCTCTGCACCTCTGCTTCTACACCCATAGCCCCTCCCAATCCCTGCCCCAGATCACAACTCCCTCCTTCATCCAAACTCCTGTCCTGCCCTAGGTCACAACCCAAACCCTTGCACCACCGGCTTCAGGTCACAACTCCCCCTCCCCCCCGACCCATCCTCCAAGTCAGAATACCCTCCTGCACCCATACCCATACTACACTCCACTTGCCTATTCTGAGCTGCCTTCTGCACTCAGATTCCATTCCAGATCTTGCACATCCTCCATTAATATCATGGAAGAGTGTGGGCCTTAACCACTAACAAATTCTTTCATCGAAATTATGCCAACTCCTACAACCAAGTCACCCCTTAACCTTCTCTTTATTAATATAAACATTTGCATACAGGCAGTCCCCGAGTTATGCGGATCCGACTTATGTCGGATCCGCAGTTACGAACGGGGGTTTTCTCGCCCCGGAGGACGGAAGCGGCGGGACGCCCAGATGCGCCGCGGTCCACCGCTCCCGTCCTCCGGGGCAAGAAAAGCTGCTCCCCGTCTCCCTGGTCTGCAGGGAGACTGGGAGCAAAGCCTTGGAGCACGCCCGCAGTCGGACCACCCCAGA